TGTATATATATATATATATACACATACACTGAGCCTTGTATCAATAGTTACTCTGTGAATTATGTTATTTAACATTTATAGCACAGAGAGAGTTGTACTGAACGTTTCTATTGTAGGAGATACCAAATTATTGTATTCTTGTAGGAGAGTCAGAATTAATATTTTTATATTCTTAAAATGTATAAAAATGTATATACTACACACGCACGCACACATACATATATATCCAATGGGAAGAAACAGGGGTGTCGTTAATACTAATATTAACATTAGTAAAAACAGATGTACACCGTATATAAGAAACCCCTTTTCTAGTGATGCTTAAAACACATATATGTATTGAAAACTTAGCATATTTTGAATCAGCTGTAATAATATTTCCTCCTTTCAACCGTATTGAAGATTTTCTTCAATACTATAAATCTATTATTATTAATCTCTATATGTTATCAACATGTACTTAGTAAATTTTTCTATCACATATGTCCCCTTTCCCGCCTTTAGCTCAGCGATAAACTTCGGGGTTATAATGCTAACAACCTGTTTTCGATACTAGCGGTGAGAAGAGTACAGATAACCCATTGTTTAACTTTGTAGTTAACAACAAACAAGGCCCGTCATGGCCAGGTGGTTAAAGCGCTCAACTCGCAATAGTCTTATTGGAATCAAACGTTATAATCCTGTTGGATACCGATTCACAGAATTATAACGCGTTGATTTAATGCGTTACGGAAAACCATGTGATTGAAAACTATGTCATCATTTGTTTGTTCGGCAAAGTGTTGAACCAATACGTCATGGCCACGTGTCTTCCGCTGAACAAATAACGAAATGATCATGTTTTAAAAACAGTAATATATATCACCATGAAGACACTGAAACACAAACATGTTAATTGCTACGATTAGCGTGTCTTTTGCTGAACGCATAATGAAATTATCATGTTATGAGAAGAAATACCTGTCATCATGAAGACACTGAGACAAGAACACGTTCATTTATAATTAATGTGTCTTGTGCTGTGTACATAATGGAATTATCTTCTTCTTAAATAATAATAATAGGTGTTAATGCGTGGCTCAAAATGATGTACCTGTTTTTTAACAAAGCAAAATATTTAAAACATGCTGCTCCTAATGGCTCAGTGGTAAGCTTGAGGGCTTATAACGCTAAAATTCGGGTCTAATTCCTGCTGTTGGCACAGCACAGGTAGTCTCATTGTGCAGCTCAAAACAAAAATATCACCAAGAATGAGAAGCATTTTGGATTTGGTCTCTTTTTTTTTTTAGCCGCAGCATAACGGCTCATAGGAAGACTCTGAGTTTTATCAAGTACACACTTTTAGCTCATAGCTCCATCTCTTGACCGATTTGAGATCTAATTACAGCCGCGGCTATTGATGATTCCCTCTTTTGCTGAACACATAATGAAATTATCATGTTATGAGAAGAAATACCTGTCATCATGAAGACACTGAGACAAGAACACGTTCATTTATAATTAATGTGTCTTGTGCTGTGTACATAATGGAATTATCTTCTTCTTAAATAATAATAATAGGTGTTAATGCGTGGCTCAAAATGATGTACCTGTTTTTTAACAAAGCAAAATATTTAAAACATGCTTCTCCTAATGGCTCAGTGGTAAGCTTGAGGGCTTATAACGCTAAAATTCGGGGCTAGTTCCTGCTGTGCTTAACGACAAACAGACAGAAAACTTTCTTTATAGTTGTTTTAGTCTTGTTATTATTTTCATTATAGTAATAAGGATAATTTGTTTGTCATTAGGGAACTGAGTAAGACACATAATAGGATAATCTTAATTCCACTCCTCCCACCTTCGCAAAAAACACACATCCCCACATTTCTTTCTCTAGCTCTGATAATCCGTTTCCAATTCAGCAGCAAAGTACTTGTTATTCGTTAGCCTATTTCATTGAACACCACGTTTCACTGCTGATAAGCAATACCCCACGTAGAGGATAAAAGCGGATGCTTTTAGTATAAACCCTGCTTTCTTCAGACGTCTTTCCCTATTGTGTAGCTCTTTTATAATTGAACGTGACACTCCGTCGCACGTTTAGCATCAATCATGGCTGACACAAAATCGTATCGCCATTAATTCGCCTTATTTAGTTGTAGATCGTTTCTCAATAAGCCACGACCCCCCCCCCCCTTTTCTTTTTCTTTTTTTGAAGAAGTGGTTGTTACGTATATTTCCGACTTGCCGATCACACTAGTAGAATGTCGTGGATATTTTGTGCCCTGTGTTCACACTGTGAAACTATTCTACCGGCGTTGTTCACCCAAAGTTCACACTGTGAAACCATTGTACCTGTGTTGTTCACCCAAAGTTCACACTGTGAAACCAATGTGCCGGCGTTGTTCACCCAAAGTTTACACTGTGAAACCAATGTACCGGCGTTGTTTACACCGTGAAACCAATGTGCCGGCGTTGTTCACACTGTGAAACCAATGTACCG